TAGACTACGTACTATAACTTAAACAAATTTTCTAAGTAGTATCATGAGATTTGAAATTTGAATTAATTCTAGAAGTCAAAAATTTAAATTAAACTCTCCTTCTCCTTTTTTTTTTGTTCACATCTTAAATTTTAAAAGCATTTAGATAATAGATACCATATTTCATTATTCCTAAAATGTTTAAATTTTTGTAGAACACTATTTTAGCTTCATCAATATTCTTCCAAATTTTGTTAGAAAATCAGAACTAATTATTTAATTATAAAATAAACTTAACAATTATTTCAGAATAATTTGCAGTATTTCTAAATAGAGAATAACATAAATTTATTATTTTTATTCAAATATAAAGATATTAAAACATTCAAGTACGCAAGATATAGGATAGCAATAATATAATTTTGTAAAATAATATGATAATTTAATTAATAATTTTTAATGTAGAAATTTTAATGTTTTTAATAAAAAAAGAAATATAATTATGTCACTAATCCATATTTAAAAAACTATAGTTAAATTGAAGATACTATTATTTTTGTATATTATTGGTTTCATTGATTTTTCCAAACTTAATCTAAATGATTTTAATTTCATATTTAATGGGATCATTATTATTTTTCTAATGGAGAGGTTGATACAAAATAAAAATAGGTAGATTGAGAAAAAGAAAATACAAATCAGTTTTATGATTATTGAAGAACTAGTAAAAAGGACTTTGAATACTTTTTTTGATAAAGTACTTTAGCGCCTTTGTTTAATAAGGCTCTTGTGTTTATTTAATTTCACAGAAGTCAGTTTTTGTGTAAAGTGAAAATCACAAAATAGTTCCTTTGTTAAGCAAATTCTGAAATTTTATGCATAGTCTATTTTAGTAAGCAATCGTCATTTTTACTTTACATATATAACTTAACTACAATCTCAATTTTTATAAAGAAGCTTTACAATCCTTTCGTTTTAGAATTATTTATTTGAACTTTATTTGTATCATAATCAGTTTGCTCGTTAACTTGCAACTAATCAAGTATATCTGACGATATTTTCTTAAGGTGATTTATAATCATTATATATTACATTAAAACTGTTAATGATTAATAATAAAATAATAAAAAGTACATATAAACCGTTATAATTCAAGAGGAAGTTAGCGATTAAGTAAAAACTTGAAGATTTATCAACTTCAAAAAATTTGAAATTACCCTCAAATTAAGGTGATGAAACTTAATTGCAATTAGAATTCTTTAGTAAAGCAAATAAGTTTATTTAAAATTGATTATACTATAAATATAATAAATACTAAATCTATTCTGACACAAAAGATTAAGAAGAATTAAATTTGATATTTTAACATTCTTATAGATATGATATGTATTCCAAGAGATTATATTAATTATACTAAAAAGAGAGAAATCATAAAAATGATTTTAAGCTGAAACAATCTTAAAACTAATTGCGATTGCAGAATCCTTTGGCATTTAATTAAATTAAAAAATTAATAAACAGTATATTATTACATATTAAGTGTATTATATTGAAATGATACAAATAAGAAGCACTTATTTTATTTGTTATTGATAAAGTAATGAAAATGCTTTGCAATATCAGTAGCGATAAAAAAAAATTATTTCAATGTTTAAAGATTTTTTAGAAAAAGAACTGCGATAATACTCTTAAACAATATTCAATTAAACTTTTCCGAAATACTGTAATATTGAATTTTATTATTATATCTATCAAATTTGTTTTGTTTATAATAATCATAGATTAATAGTCAGCCATATAAATATATAATAATAAAATATTGCTAATTTTATGATAATGATTTACAATGAAATTAATCAACCCTTTTGAAATGATTTCCTCTAATGAAATAATAATTCATTCTATTTTCTCCAATATCACAGACTGCCTATTAATGAACATGCGACTTCTTAGTTAGAGCTTATCTCTTGGAAAATATTAATGATTCTATGGTTATTTTGACATAATAAATGTTGTTAACTATTCTTCTTTTAGGTATTCAACTAAATAATAAAATAATTTCTGCCAGTCAATTTCTAAAGAATTTCCTTAATTTTTATTATTTATTTCGTTAGATTTGAAAGATCAATTAAAATGATGATAATAAATATTTTTAAATCTGCTGAACTTTTATTTTCCAAAAATGTCAATGAAGTTGATACTCATAACTTATGAATTCTCCTAAATATTGCATTATATGATATTATAGTACTCAGTAATTGAATGATTAATATTAATTTTATCTACAACAACAATATAAACTAAATACTACAAGAATTCATAAATCTATTTTAAATTAGAATTTAATTTATAATTTAAAAAAAGTTTAAATTTACTTAATAATTCAAAATCTTATACATAAATAAATTGAATAATAATCAAATGAATTCATTTTATAATGAGCTCTTTGAATTTAATTCTATTAAATTTCTCTTAGTGGTTTTATATTTTTAGAGTATTGTAAAAGTATTAGAATCTTGAAAACCGTATGGATTAAATCTTGTAAATATACTAAGCATGATAATTTCAGAATAAAATCATCTACATTGTATTTAGAAATTTAATTGAAAAAGATTTTTAGTGTTCAATAACTTGAAGATCAGCATTTTTCAAATAAAAACTGCTATGATAATAATTTCTATGTTTCACTTTCCAAAATATATTATCAATTATTTATTATTATAACTCACAGTTCCCTTTTATTTGGCCATTTAAGGAGAATCTTTTTTATTCTTCTTTCATGTTGTTCTTTGATATCTCAATAAGAAACTCATTATACATTGACTCACCTTTAATTTCAAGTTCGAATAACATGATAAATTAAAAATTGTATAGGAGAGGGACCATATTTTTGTATTTATTTAATTCTCTTATTAGTAAATTGTTTAATTTTATTATCAAGTTTTAAATCTCTAAACATAATATACAATATCCATATAATGTCATAACCATTATTATTATGATATATTTTAATCTACATTAAATAATGTAAAAAAATTTCATTTTCTTTTTAGAAATAAATGTAAAGTTGAAACTAAATTAAGAATATAAAGTTACTCTTAAAGAGAGACATTATTAGTTTAATTTTATCATAGAATCGAATAAATATCTATACAAAATCCATATGATCATTCATTATATGCATGTTTCGGTGTAACTTATCTATTTTGAAAAATGATCATACATAACCAATTTTTAATAAAGGTGTTTAATTGTGTTTTATTGATCTCATAATGTTGTCTATACTACAATAAAATAATGGCTTTCTATCAGCTTCTCAATTATGATCAGGATTATTAAAGAAAAAAATATTTGTATTTTTGGTAAATATATTTTGGAGTGTAAATATGCTTCATTATTTCATGCTTTAGAAAATGTCAAGAATAATATAATTATACAAAGGCTAGGCTAGTATATAGGTATACTTTGATAGGCAAATGTAAATAAGAGGAAATGTAATAATCTAAATGAGAAAATAGTATTCCTTTGTCATTATGATTTACAAAGAGATATCATCCAGATTTAAAATAGAAAATGATCATTCAGTCAATATTATTACAAAAGAATTAAGGATATAAAATTTATTTAAAAAGAGATTATTTTTAAAAGGAGGAGGAATCTATAAGAGGGTACAAAAAGGTGAGGAAATAATAATATGCTGTACAATAAATTTGGGCTATTGAACATGTTTTTGACGGAGGATGGTATTTGTTGTTAAATGCTGTATATACTAAATTAAAGATAAATTTTGTACAATTAAATGCATAAAAATTTCAATTATCATTAGCGGAAATATCAGTGTTTATGACAGAAAAGGCATCAATAATAATTATGAGCTTAAAATTTTAAAGTATAATAGAAAAAACAAAATTTCAAAAAGAATTATTGTAAATGAGAAATAAGGATATTAACAGTTATAAAATTGGAAGAGATTAAAATAGAACATAAAAGATATCCTTCTTACTTATTTTTGATTTTATGAACATTTAAGTTTAAGCACTATCACTTATAAAATCAGATAAACTATTAAAATATTTTTTACTATAATATTGTTCCTTCAATAAAAAAAACAATTCTTATTTTACCTATTAATTGATTAAGTCTTACAATAGACTTATAATTGAAAATCAGTAACACTTTAATAATTATATCAACAATAAATAATTTTATAGCAAACTGTTTAATTAAGAGTAGATAAAAAAATTAGCATTTCTAAAATATTACTTCCAAGTACATTTATCAAATAATATCGCTATAAATCCTAGATTGAAATGATTTATCATATTTTTCATTTATAATCATAACATGTTGCTATTGCATTTTATGAATCAATTCTTAATTTCATAAGAAAAACAAGGAACTTAGTTGTTAAATAAGAACTATAAATTCAGTTGTTAAATAACAATAGCCCTCCTATTCAGATTATGTTCTTAAAACAATAATTTTATCAATATTTCATATCCAAGAGAATAGTTACTTTAATGATGAATAATATTTTATTTAAGCACTTTCTTATAATTTAAATGAAAATAACTGAGTATTGAATGATGAAAATGTAAGAATTTATGACGATTAAAAAAAATAAATTCTGTATTTTTTTATTTTGATTAAGTGATTTAGGAGGAAAATCCTTTAAAAATATCTTTTGAATTTATTAAAGTAATAGCAAGAATGCTATTTTGAAGAGAGAAAATTTTAATTATATAAATAAAATGAAGAAATTTAACAACAAGATTTAAATAATATATTTTTTGTGGCAACTTAACAAAATGAATATAATCCTCCATCAAAAATGTTATCATTGTTGAAAAAAACATTAAAAATAGGCTTTGTATTGGATGCTTTTAAGAGAAGGATAAATCAACAATCCATTTACAAGTTAATAATAAAAACTATTATCTTTATGTTAATAGATTAAACTGTTAAATGGTGAAACTGTCTATGTAACTACTTTTATTGAGAAAATTTTTAATTATTTTGTGCCAATTTAAAAAACAAAAATGGAATATTAGGGATTGGGAAAAACAATTATGGTATTAGCATTAATAATAGAAACTTAAAAAAAAGGTTAACATACACTAATAGTTATCCAAAGTCAGTATTTTTTAAGTGGAGATAGAAATTTAAATTCATTCTAAACCGAAATTCTAAAAGTTTTAGCGTAAACAAGAAGTTTGAAGATAAAATTATAAGATTATGATAATATTTAAACTACTTGTGCTATATTCGCATCTGATTACTCAATATTGACATAAATAAATAACCTCAATTTAGACCAATAATAATAACAATAATAAAAAATACTAAATTAAGCAAGAAATAAAATTTTATAGAAGTAAAAGAGGAAGAAGTTGAGGAAAAGACTAATTTTATAGATTTAAATATTGATTAATCAGCTTCTTATTCAATACGGTTCATAAATAATCAGAGGAATTAAAAGTTGAAGAATATGAAAATTATTCAGATAATAATAATCCAAGTAAAATCAACTTCCTTCAAAACAAATACAAAGGCAAAAAAAAAGTTAATAACTTATTTCAATAAAGCAATTATAGAGTAATACTGGATAAAAATCATAATACAAAAAGTAGATTCACACTTCAAACTAAAAGTGCGGTTACTTTATAAAGTCAATTTGATTTTGTTGAACAGGAACTCTTAAGCATAATTAACATAATGATTTATTTAGTCTTCTATAATTTTTATAAGTTGAAACATTTTCAAAATACTATGATATTAATATCATGTTTATAGATTTTGGTTGGAATACCTATGTAAACAAGGAAGAAAATGAAGATGGTCTTAGCTTAAATTTTATAGCAAATAATTTTTAGGAAAACAAGGAATTCTTAACAATTGGAAGGTCTGTAATCAGTAGTATAAAAAATTTTTGAGTATATTTGAATTAAAAACAGAGGATTTTATATTAGAAAACTACTTTCAAGTTCATAAAGTCTATTTAACAATATTGTGAGAAATACAATATTAAATCCCTTATCGAATTACTGGTTAAATGAGTGTGGATAAGAGAGAAATAATTATTAATAATTTTAAGGAATTATAAAATGTTACTGTACTTATACTTTCTTTGAGAACTACGTCTAAAAGAATTGAAGAATTAGCATTTAGAAATATTGCCAATAAGAGGATACAAGAATATATGTTAAAAATTAAGTGACTGAGAGATTTAATTTATAGTAGGATTTGCCTTAAGTTATTATGTTTTTATACATAAAATTTAAGGGTAGATAAAAGATAAAAGTGCAATAATGGCTTAGAAGTAAACAACTATAATATCTGATTTACTTAATTAATTTGAGTAAACTTTGAGGATTCAAAAATAAAAAAGGATAAAATTTAAAAATAGCCAGCAAATCAATTCAAAATGGAT